AGAGTGAATTTTCGGATGACTTTCCATTTGGTGAGTTTTAAAAGCAAATTCCTTTTGAATTTCTTCCTTACTCCAATAAGGGAGCCACTTGCTTGAATTTAAATCAACCTTAACTACCTCTTCACATTTCAAATCAAAATAGAATAGACATGACTTTAAATCTTCACTCCACAATATTGTTGCGTCTCCATTTTTTCCATAATAAGAAGTTGCTGATTTCTGATACTTTCCTTCGTGAATATTAGAAAGGGAAAAACAAACCAACAAGAAAGCCAATGACCTTGACTTACACAACCCACTGTTTGTTTCCTTGTCATTTTGCAAATCTTCTGATAGGTAGTTACATCCATGACGAATTGCATTTAGAGCAATTTCTCTATCATTTCGCAAATATTTTGGAATATATTGAATCAAATAACCATTAATCCTAGTTAACTTCCTAATAAAATCAATATTGTTCCTTAATCTTTCAGACACGTACTCGAAAGATGAAGCATTCTCTGAGAATGCAATTGCTTGCACTATTTCCTCCTCATCTCTGTATTCTTCTGGAACATATTTCAGAGGATGAGTATCATATCTGCAAGCTTCATAAACTATTTCTCTATCTAATTCTGATTCATTGATATTTCTTAAGCTCAATCCGTTTCGTACTGCAATGATTAACAATTCTCTGTCTTGTTGGAGAGAATGACTGGCGTATTTCAAGTTATTTCCATCTAATTGGACAGCCTCTAATACTATGTCTCTGTCTTGTTTGTATTCTTGTGGTATTTCTTCAATACTTCCAATTCTTCTTACGTATTCTAATATTAAATCTCTATCTTCCTTCAGACTATATCCCAAAAAGTCAGATATATTTGACATTGAATTTCTAATTGCTTTTACAACAAAGTCTCTCGAATTTTTCCAAGATTCAGGAGCATACTCAAAGTAGCATCCGTCTCTACCTATTAAAAACTCTAGTATCTCCTTATCTGTTTTTAATTCTTCTGATGCATAATTATAATTACCAGTATCATATAAAAGTGCTTCCTGTAACAATGACTTATCATTTTGCAATTCCGCTGATGCAAACTTTAGAGCTCCGTAATGTTCTTTTATCGCCAACCTGATTATTTCTCGGTCATTTCTTAACTCGTCGTTCAACGATTCTAAAATTTTACGATCTTGTAATATATAGTCCAATACTAGTTGTCTACTGTTTTTTAGTTCGCCCTTGCAATGTTCTAAGCATACAGGATCTATTCTAATAATTCTCAACTGTCTTTCCTCATTAAGAGAATTGAAATAATCTTTAGAAGTCCACATTGCTGAACTATACTGACATTGAATATCAATTAGTTCATCAACAAAATCACTATGATTAACTAGAGACGAACCACCATAATCAAGAAAGCTTAATGAATTACCTGCTCCTGAAATGCATTCTAGAACGAATTCACGGTCATGAATTAATTCTCGAGCGATTCTACTGGAGAATGCGCTAGAATTAACAGAAGAACCAAG